AGAGCAGGACAGTGAATTTCGATTGCTCCAGCAACATTCAGCAGACACAATAGTTTGTGTTAACAAGGTGTAGAACTGGATGAACACGGCAGGCCAAGCAGCATCAGAGGAGCAGGAAGGCTGACGTTTCGGGCCTAGATCTGAAGAAGGGTCTAGGCCCGAAACGTCAGCCTTCCTGCTCGGCCTGCTGTGTTTATCCAGCTCTACACCTTGTTTTCTCAGATTCTCCAGCATCTGCAATTCCTACTGTCTCTGAAACAACAGATTGGTGACTACTTTGAAGTTTCATGGTTCAATAATCTTGGCTCAGTTTTAACAAATAAAAGTGCATCAGGGATTTGTGACAACAAGGTGTAGGGCTGGATGAACACAGCAAGCCAAGCAGCATCATAGGAGCAAAAAGGCTGACGTTTCGGGCCTAGACCCTTCATCAGAAAAATCATGTGTGTTTTTTTTAAACTTTGATAAACTGCACTGGGAAAGAAAGATGCTACAAAAACTTAGGAAGAAAAATAATCTGTTCACTATACTTCAAAATATTTAGTTAATTTTCATACATCAGCATGCAATATCAATTTTGTGTCTTTAATTCCCAAGTCTACGCACAAATGAAATTGCAAACAAACTGGTTACACAGCAATTACAAATTTCTGCAGGTGATAGTAACAAGGGAGTTTTGGTTTTGCGTCACTTATCTAATTTATATGTTCATCCAAGATATTCCAACTCTTACTCCCCTTTCCCAAATTGATGCAACGTTTGCTACTGCACAACAAATATTAATGCAAGGTCAAAACATTTTATATAAACTAAAACAAGCTATGTACCTTTTAAATCAAGCCCATGTTATTTCTGCACAATCTGTTCCAATTATCCCTTATGATCTTACAGTACACTGGAACATCACAGGACATCAATTCCTATTAAAATACCTGCCTGCTCAAACAAAATACAAAATAATAAATGAAAAAGATTGCAGAAAACTTCGCAGTCACTGTGGGAAATGCCATTTTTAATTAGAATCCTGGGAAATTCTTCTCATTGGTATATTAGTTTTTTTTATTCTAATGAGGTACAGCAAAGATACAGAAAATAAACAAAAGTCCCTAATGGGATATTTGGCCTTGCAATTATTGTTTGTGATCAATGAAGAAAAGCAAAAGGCAGTGAATGTTGGAAATCTGCAATAAAATCTGAAAATACACAGCAGAGTTTGTGGAAAGAGAAAACTAGTTACCCTTTCAGGGTGATGATCTTCAAATCAGGAATTGGCACAGTAGGAGAGGTTAACAAATTTGAAGCAAATGCAAAAACCCGAAAAGGAGGAGAGAAGAAAAGGTCTGTGACATTATTGAAAGCAGAGGAGATTAAATGATAACAGTGATGACAGCTCAGGACAAATGGAGATGGATCAAATAAAGGAACAAGAGATGAGCCTAGGGCAAACGTACCTGGAAATCACAGAATCATTAGAGCTGCAAACACATAGAACAGGGCTGGGATTCAGATCCAAAATTGTCAAACTCAATGTTGTGCTGCAGAAGGCTATAAAATGCTGAACTGAAAGCGAAGATGCTGGTCATCAAGCTTATGGCCAGCTTCACTGGAAGAGTCTTGAAAACCAATCTCAAGGAGGTCAACGAATTAAAGTGCCCAGGTCTAGATGTTGACTGAATAGAGATGTTCTGAAAAGAAGTCAGTCAGCCATGCTTGGTCTTGCCGGCAGTTTGGTCAAAATCTTCACAACTGATGCTCACTGAGTTAGATTATTTGTCCCGAGGTGCGAACTCAGAGTAAAGGAAACAACCTAAGTTGCTGAAAGAAATGAGCTGCAAGCATGAAACAGACTTTAAAACTTAAAAAGCAAAATAATGCAGATGCTAGAAATCTGAAGCAAACACTGGAGAAAGCCAGCTGGTCTGGCAGCATCTGTGGAGAGAGTACTTCTCTCTAGTATTTCCGGGAGGCAATGGCCTAGTGGTATTATCGCTGGATTGTTAATCCAGAGACCCAGATAACGTTCTGGGAACACAGGTTCAAATCCTGCCACAGCAGATGGTGGAATTTGAATTCAACAAAAAAAATCTGGAATAAAGAATCTAATGATGACCATGAATCTATTATCAATTGTCAGGAAAACCTCATCTGGTTCACTAATGTCCTTTAGGGAAGGAAATTGTCATCCTTACCTGGTCTGGCCTACATGTGACTCCAGACCCACAGCAATATGGTTGACTCCTAACTGCTCTCTGGGCAATTAGGGGGTGGGCAATAAATGCTGCCTAGCCAGCGACGCCCTCATCCCATAAATGAGTAAAGGAAAAAAAACAAAGTCTAGTATGACTCTTCATCAGGGTTCTTAAGAAGTCACACTAAACTTGAAGCGTGAACTCTGTTCTCTCTCTTCACATTTGCTGGTGCTTATTTAAAGTAAAAAAACTGTTGTAAATTAACTTTGTTACACACATACAATCTGATGCATCAGTTCTATATAGCTCCAAGATGGAAAGTTTAAAATATCTCCCATGTTGAGGAAATCTCATCACAAGTAGTGATCATGGCATTCCAAATTGAAATCTATTCAAAATGACTGTTTCATTTGACGGAGCATATTATGTTCTAGAAGTTGGAAAGAGACGAGGTAAAACAGAGATGTTACATCTCCTAAAATTATACGATGGAAAAGGGGAGGGCATTTTATTGTTGAGTGGGGAGTGGAAGTGGTGGGAATTTCTCAATACTGATGAAGAGTTATTGACCTGAAGTATTAATTTTGCTCATCACTTTTCACAAATGGTACCAGGCCTGTTGAGTACTTCCAACATTTTGTCCTTTATAATTAATGTCCATGTAGAATTTTCTTGGCTGTTGTATGATGTTAGCAGAGAAACTAGCCCAAGAGTTAAAGTCTTTGTTAAATCAGTAGACAAATGAGCTGCAAAGTTGAGTAATTTTTTTGCACAGCATAACTTCAGAGCTACAGAGAGCAGTTCAACAGGAGAGAGAAAAGTAAAACAATTTTTGTTTTAATAGAGTGCCAGTAGGTCATCGTGCACCACTGACTTGACATTTAGACACTGTCACCCTGTAATTTCTAACAGTGGTTGACAGACATGAATTAGAATGGAAAAGAAAAGTAAATGCTGAATATGTTCACTATTTCAGAACCAACTATCAGCCACACTTTGTACTTTTCACATAACAAGCATCATCCAAAAATATTGAAGGTTAAACTGGTACAACGGTCTGTATTGGAAAAACAGGAGGCAGCTGGATGATCCGACTACTCCTTGTGACTGTAAACTCAATTCACTTTCTGTTTACGCTGAATTTGCAGTGTATCAGTCTACCTACCCACCAATTCAGTATCTCAGGGATTTGTTTTGTATTTCCCTCATAAGAAAAATGTACAGAACTCTCAAAAGAAGAATAAAACACCTTGAGAGTAAGTTGATTGATCTAAACTGTAACTATCACTCAAACCCAAAGCCTTTAGCCACTGGCAAATACTGCAACGAATATTCATAAAGGACCATCTCTCAAAAGGAATACTGGGTGTAATTTTGGTTTTGAACAATAGTATGTACCTGACAACATCAGCTCAGATACCTGTTACATAGCTCACCTGATTCTCAATGCTATTAAATTTGACGGAAATGAAAATCAGGTCTGAAGCATGCCAGGTGATCTGATCTTGCTCCTTGAGTACCTCCACCCGCAGCAATACGAAATCTATTCAATTAGATATTCTGCATAAAACGTGCATACATAATTGCAGAAGTTTTTATGCACGATCAATACTTTTGAAAGACTCAAAATTAAAAATGGTTTCCTTTTCATAAGGTTGTAATTGACTTCATTAATATCCTGGCCAAAGTCAGCAATTAAGGGAAACACCATTACTAGAAGAATTTGTATGGGATGTGCTGTTGACAATTTGTGTAAGGCATTGGAATTTATAGCTGTTCAATCAAACCATTACAATTCTGATCAGAAATTAAATTTTTTGAACAAATTCCTAATGAGATACATTAATGTTACTCATTCAGAAATAACATCATGTAATTTCAGCCTAACCTCTAGGCTACACTGGCAGCGTGCATCTGGAGTTAAGTGAAGTGAAGCATGATCGATTTTGAGGAGGTATTCGCACACTTCTATGGAACTTGATACATTCATAATCTAATTGTGGCGCGAAATCAAATCTAATTTTTGGCAATGCTCATTTAGTTATCCGGACATTTCACAAAATTAACATCCCTGAATTAAAATGTTCAAAGCAGGAAAAGCTCCTATTAAATTTCTAATGTACAGACATAGCACAAATTGACCAGCCTGGCACTCAGCTCTCCCTTTAAAACAAGGCGGTGGAAGTTCCAGTCAAGCAGCGGTTAGACAACTGAGTTTACCAACGGAGTTATGCCTGACTCGAAGCTGATCTCAGATCAGTGTTCTCCTTAGACAGACCCTCGGAATAAGGATGACCTTCTTCTACTCGGGAGTAATAGGTGCTGAGCTGACTAGACCATCCAATACTGGAGCAGCAAACCCTGCCAGCAGTGGGGTAGCTGGTGTTTGCTGAAGTGGGTGGCTGCGATGCTCTGATTTTCACACATTCTTTTCTGACCGTAACCAATGCCTCGGGGAGGAGAATATTAACCTGAGAGCAGGTCCTGATATTGCAGTGAATGCTTATCGTGCTAGTGGATTTGCAGAGGCATCACTCAATATTTCTCAAGGGTTTGAGGTGCCTCCTGTATGTTGTCTATAACCGCCACACTTAAGAGAAGACTGGTATCTATGTAGCCATGTAGATCATGAGCTTAGTGTCTTGTTTGAGGTCTTCAGTATTAAACAGTCCGCTCCTCAGACAGACGGCATACAGGAGGTGATGTTGGATTTCATCACCATAATTGTGACCAATGAAAGGAGAGGAGGACGACAACAGTAGTAACTACAAAACAACAGCTCCTGACTCATCAGCAGTATTTATCTCTTACCTGAACGGTGCTTCCTTACGAAACCGCTCGCGGAATTTGTGCTGTTCCACGTCAAAACTCGCACATTTCTTGCGAAGGACTGTCACTTCACTGGCTTGAAGAGGTGCCACCTGCTGTTTTGTTGTGATTGCTAACTTCTTAGTGTTATTCCACTTCTCTGGAAGTTCCTATACACACAAGCAGAAAAGTGTACAAGTCAATGTAGACAGCACTGCACAATCTAGCAGCTGCAACACCAGACAACTGCACTCTCACCAACTAGTTTTGGAACAAAAGCCAGATGTTTTGATAGCACAGCACACTCTTCTAGTGATTTATTTTCAACACTGTCTGCACCAAGATCGTTTACATGCCTCAGTGAAACCTTACCTCACATAAGAGGCAAAGAATACATTAACTCTGTTACTTAACGAAACTGGGATATAGTGACACATTATCAGAGAACTCACTAAATATTGTGACATGAAGGAGCCATCATCACTGATAGCATTCATGCTTCTGTGTCAGAAGATCATGGACTCAAGATCAACTCCAAATATTTCAACTCATAAGATAACCTAACCCAAAAACGAGCCCATGGAAAACCTTGTTTCCACAACTCAGCAGATACAAGTGCTCTGAAGTTAGATGTTAGCTTCTGTACAACAGTAGCAAAGACTCAAACACATAAGCTTGGAGTTAGTATTAACAATGACAGTGAAATTGCCAATATCTGTCCTCTCCTGAAACTGATAGCAATTGTTGGAGTCCACATATGTACATTTAACTATAGAAATGCAAAAGTTGCTGTCAGTGATTTCAAGCTTTCTCGTAGTCTCCCTAAACTAGAACAAATATTTAGTCATCATTACATTGCTATTTGTGGAAGCTTGCTGTACACAAATTGGCAACAATGTTTCCTCATGATAACAATAATCACATGTCAAATATACAACATTGGCTGTAAAGCGGTCCTGGAAGATACAATATAAAGGCAAGTCTATTTCCTTTCTTTTAAGCAACCATAATGTAGAAACTATTGGTTTGATGAAAACTGGCTGTTTCATGCCAAGGGTCTTGTCACAATGCACTGGAAAGATATCAATTAATCAGTTGATTTAAAAAGAAGCTTTTTTTATAAGCATATCAAATCATCACCATAGGGGTTACTGCTTCCATTGGGTATAAAATGGGTGAATGGAGCTCAGTGTTCCAAAAAAAAAATGGCTGCAGTCTGGTCTCGTCTCTTAGACAAGTCTCATTACATATTCTTGGCTAAGAGTTAGACACCCATAATTCTGTTGAAACACCGAAGCACCTGCTCAATTGACAGTGCTAGCTATCTGAAACCTGCTACCAATTTCACAATGTTCACTTAGATAAGATTAAGAAATGTCAAGTACTTGTGGTTTCAGCTACTGAATCTTTAACAGGCATGAATGATTTAAAACTTTTACTGCTCGGGCATAGAATTGTTTTTAAAAACATAGTGTCAAGTTATCAATGAAAATTTTTATAAAGCTTTTCTTTGACAGATATAACTATCAACACAGGGTTCACTGTTTATAGTGAATGGGAATGGGAATGACAGTTATGTAGCTTTGTAGGTATAGGCTGCTTTGAGGCAAAGCCTTGGCACTTGTGGAGAAAGGGAGAGCAGCGAGAGAGCAGAAGGGACCATAGGGGCCTAACCCTAACCCTAAGACATACTTTGTTATTGGGGATTGCAGAGGGCTAAAGGACCATGACAGTTCTTTATGGCCATTCCTTGGCACGTGGGGGCATTTGTCTCACATTTTATCAGCATCCCGAAATTTTGTTAAAAGATAAACTCAAATTCTTCCGAGAAAGCACTCTGGATAATGCCAACTTTGAATGAAGCTTTAAAAATCAACCTGGCTTATTTCATTCATATATTAAGAAAAGCTCCACATTTGTTGTTCCAGTTCCAATAGCTGCGGGGGTTTTCTCTCCATCAATTTTAAAGACTGACAGCATAAAGCATCATGGAGCTACTGGGAAGTTCTGGAGTGGGCTGTATAGTGAGCATGAGGTTGCATGGATAGGTACGTGGGGATGACGAGGTATGAAGGGTGTAGACTGTATTCCCAAACGGGACAGAGTCTGAGTTTGCTTTAAGCAGCACACCTCAACAGCTGGCAGCCCTCCTGCGTGCCTTCGGACTTTTTCCAGGTCAGTCGTTTAACCACTGGCTGCCCCCTGCTCCAGGCATTCCTTAGAAGATGGTATTCCTCAGGGGCTGGCACGTGAAATTGGGAACTTTCCCAACTCCCGTTACCCACCTTTGAAATGAAAGTCCAGACCCGAGTTCTGAGCAAGTGCAAAGCTTCAAGTAAAAGTTCGCAACATACAAAAATAAAGCATAGTTTGTTTTGGATACAACACTGCATACACAGGATGGCACAGTGGTTAGCACAGCAGCCTCTCGGCACCAGGGGACCCGGGTTTGATGCCACCCTCGGGCGACTGTCAGTGCGGAGTTTGCACGTTCTCCCTGTGTCTGTGTGGGTTTCCTCCAGGTGCTCCGGTTCCCTCCCACAGTCCAAAGATGTGCAGGCTAGGTGGATTGGCCATGGGGAATGGCCCTGCAGCGTGCACACTGGGTGGGGTAACTATGGTAAATGTGGGGTTACGGAGACATGATTGGATGCTCTTCAGAGAGTCAGTGCAGACTTAATGGGCCGAATGGCCTCTCTCTGACCTGGAGGGATTCTATGATTCCATACATGCTGGAATGCCCATGAATTAGGTTAGACAACTAAAACATCACAACGGATTTTGACAACACACCTCATGTTAAAAGGAAAGAGATAACAAAGTGTAGAGCTGGATGAACACAGCAGGCCAAGCTGCAGAGGAGCAGGAAAGCTGACGTTTCAGGTCTGGACCCTTCTTCAGAAAATGGAAAAAGGAAAAAGGAAAGAGGAAAGAGGATCTTTTTTCATAAAGTGAAGAACTTGTGTGAAGATATGACAGATCATTTCAAGTGCGTACGTAAAAAACATTTCAATCACAGGACTTGGATTCATTCCAGCCAATTTTAACTCCAGTCCAGTGATTGCATAGATCCTTTTAGCAGTATGGAAATTAACAACAGACCCAGCTGTCAAAATAACACACCAACTTTCACTGACCTCCAGCAACTTGTGTACTTCTTCAGGTAATTCCTGTTCATAGGTCTTCAGGAGTTCTATGGTCTGTTTAAGGGGCTCAAACATCTCATTAGTTGTAACCTGTCTCTCTTTCACAGCCATGAGGTGGCCCATCACATTAATCAGGCCATTCAAATCACCTTCTTCAACCTTTTGGCGTAAACCTCCTTCCGCTATCTGGATAAATGCTTGGAGATCAGTCAGGCTGAATGGGGGCGAGGGAAAAGGATTTGAAGGGAAAGGTGAACAAAACTCTAACATCAAGACGGCACATGAATTTTATATCGAATTATACAGAACGTAAAACACAGGCACAAGTAATTTGCTGCAACTTATCTGTGATAGTTTATTCTTTTGCATCAGGAGTGTCCTCCCACTCCAAATGCTTTATCTTAACCTTCCAACATATATTTCTATTTCCTCTTCCTTTATGTACAGATGTGGCTCTTTTGAAAAGATCTTCGCTGCGTACCTCAAATTTTCTATCGTGGCTCATTCCACATACTAAACATTGAGAAACAAAGTTTCATTTTTCTCTGCTTGAACCTTGAATTGATGGTTCCCAAGTTTCAGTTGCTCAGGTGGAAACGGTCTCTCCACACGTACTAAGGCCAATCACCTCATCGTCATTTTAAAGGCCTTCATAAAAGTTCTCTCCTTGCCCCTTCACCAAGAAAAATCATTTAATCTTTCCCAATAGCCGTAATTGCCAAGTTCATCTTTGTAAATCTTTACTGTGTTTTCTGCAGTGTTTACATGTCCTTTCCTTGAATAGCCTGAAGGCTAGGGCTGCACACAGTATTCTAAGTGCAGTCCAACAGGTTTATTTGAAAACACAAGCTTTCGGAGCCTCACTCCTTCTTCAGGTGTTAGTGAGAGAGGTAGTATCAGACACAGTCCTTTAGTTCTCTCACGACAGTGACTTGAAAGGAATTCGGGGATTTACATATACATATTAACCAATCGAAACCTTTTAACTGATTAAAGATTTAACAGCATCTTAGGTTTATTTAATACATCCTCATCAGTGGTGTGACCCTTTAATCTGTTACTTATTAGTTCTATGTCTGATACTACCTCTCTCAATAACATCTGAAGGAGGAATGAGGCTCCGAAAGCTTGTATTTTCAAATAAAACTGTTGGACTATAACCTGGTGTCATGTGATTTCTGACCTTCTCCACCCCAGTCCAACACCGACACCTCCACATCATAAGTGCAGCCTGACCAAGATTCCACACAAGCTTAACAATAATCTCATTGGTTTTAAATTCTATAATCTCTGGGATTTGTTTCTAGAGTGTTGTTAGTATTTTTCAATGTTTTGCTAACTGGTAATGCTGCTTATAGTGATTTATTCACCTATATCCATAGACCGCTTTGCACTCAGTCCTGTGTGTGGGTGTGGAGGATGCATAGGGTCATGGGGAGGGGTGTGGAGGAGGCATGGAGGATACGAGAGGCCATGAAGCAGATTTCTGAAGAACTTTACTGGGACAAAGTTGAGTCTTACCTGTTGGTTACATGATCAATTAGGTGCTGCTTGAACATAAGGCTCCACTTCTTAATGATATTCAACAGAGCAGACTTGAATGGTCTGGCATCAATTCGCATCCAGCTGTCAAATATGTTGATGGACTCCAAATGATTCACCTCATCATAGATCTTTTCGTAAGAATCTACTTGTTCTTTATACTGCTCAAGCGTCGGGGGACTTCCTGGTACACCATCTTCTGCATGAGCCTCAATTTCTTCAGCAGTGAGAACGTGTCCATAGAGAAGGAATTGACGCATAAACTCCTTTCGGTCGTCAACCCACAGATAAGCATACTGGTCAAAGGAATTCTGATAGTTGCAGCATTTTGCCATCACGTGTTGAATGCTGTCCATCAGGTTTTGACGCATGTCTACCAGGTCAGCCATGTCTTCCATATCAGCCTGATGTTTAAAAGTCACCAAAGAAGGACATTGGTTAGGCCATTTTTGGAATACTGTGTTCAGTTCTGCTCTCCCTGCCACAGGAAGGGTGTTGTGAAACTTGAAAGGATTCAGAAGATATTTACTAGGACGTTCACAGGGTTGGAGGGTTTGAGCTATAGGGAGAGGCTGAATAGGTTGGGGCTATTTTCCCTAGAGCGTCGGAGACTGAGGGGTGACTTTATAGAGTTTTAGAAAATCACAAGGGGGCATGGATAGGGTGAATAGTCAAGGTCTTTTCCCAACACTATGGGAGTCCAAAACTAGAGGCCACAGGTTTAAGGTGAGAGGAGAACGATTTAAAAAGGGACCGCTTTTTCATGCAGAGGGTGGTGCATATATGAAATGAACTGTCAGAGGAAGGGGTGAAGGCATCTAGATGGGTATATGAATAGGAAGGGTTTTGAAGGATATGGGCCAAATGCCGGCAAATGGGACTAGATTAATTTAGGATTTCTGGTCAGCATGGACGAGTTGGACCGAAGCATCTGTTTCCGTGTTTATATCTCTATGATTCTATTATAACTAGGACATAAGGAACAGCCAGCACAAAATACTTACAGAAAATGCAGCAACAAAGCAAGGAGGTTGTGAAAACCACCAATCCAAAATTAAACATTTTTAGTCTATTTCAAGCAATCTCACCTTGATTTCTGCAGACTATAATAACCATAGAGGGGTGGAAAAAGAGCTCACCTCACCACTAGCAGTTAATCATGGCTGGTTTAAGTTACTTTGCTTCCCATTTTTGGCATTAGCCCTATGACACTGCACTCTCAGATCACGTTCAATGTTATAGACAATACCTGGCTATTAACCTACACAACAAAAACTAAAATAAAATCACAACTTGAATTAATTCTTGCTGTGATCAAAGTTCAAGTAAAAGGTTCATTAATTTAACATGCAACAAGGTTCAGATTCCCCATTGCTAATCTCCCAGCCAGCTGACAAGGCTAATGTGGTCTATCAGGAAGTCTCCAAGAATGAAGAACAATTAAATATTCAGCTCAATTTAAACCGGAGAAAAAGTGGAAGAATGGGTTACCAAGCTATCGACAAAATGGTGATCCTTTTACCCATGGTGCCATTTGACTCTACACCCTTGGAGTCGTACACAAATGTAGCATCTCAGAATTGAACAGCTGGATGGTGTATGAGATTTGTGAATAGTTACAAGTTAGCACTTCATCTGAAAACTAAAATGTCATAGCACCTCCCACTTCAACTTCATGATTAAAATAAAACACTACTTGGTCATACTACAGAGAAAAGTGTATATTTGATTGGCCTGCACTTCACATGGAGTGAACACTGATGGACTTCAATATCCCAACAAGGAAAACTGTTCACAAAATTGGTGGACGAACCATCTTTGTAAAGGTCATGAGAAGACACAGATCACAATGATTCCATCATGTATGGAATACTGCATCACAAACTAGTGGTGATATTCAAGCACAAAGCTCTCCCCAAAGAGAAATTTCACAAGGAAGGATAGCTGGATGAAGGTGATTACAAGAAACGGAACAAAGAAGAGTACAATTATAAACTATATGAATAAAAATGTTTCATCTTGGACATGTTCAAATGCCACCTTTCCAATTCCAAAAGCATCAAAAAAAATCATTTCTAAAATGCGGAATATCAACTGGTCTTGATAAAAGAGAGGACGATTATTTGCATAATGATAGTGTCGCAGTTTTTGATAGAATTGACATCACTGATGATGATAATGACATGGAAAATTCATGCAAGCTTTTAGGATGAATTAGTCTGTGACTCAGTTCATGAGCAAAGTGATTGTGAAGGATTTCAATGTAAACTACCTGTATTGCAGTTAACTTGTTACCACATTTCACAGGCATCAACTTATACAGCATGAGAAAAGGGTGCTGACCGATTGGCAAGTGAACTGACATGTTGATGCAATACTTAAATACTTCAATACTCCAGTTCTGTACAACACAATTAATTATATTAATTAATCACTGTTGTTGGGTTTTCTTTAATAGCCTTATTCCATAGATTTTCTTGGGCCAAAATCAAGCACTTGTGTTGACCCTGCTGAAAACATAGACCCTGTGGGTTATGGTCTAAAATTCAATAAAACTTGACTGTTTCTCAGTGTTTCTTCCATTTCTTGAATCCATTGGGTTTAGCCAGTAGAAGAAAGGAACAATGAAGATATTAAGCAGGGCAATTTTAAGGTGACCAGCCCTTGACTTCCATGGAGGGTAATAATAAGCAGTGTGAGAAACTGGAACTGCATGCAATCCCCCACAGTTCCCTGGTGAGTTAGGTTAAAGCAAGCCTGAGCAGTCTTACGTTGAGATCATACATAGTGGAAAAGCTTACCTGATAGTGAGGGAAGGCATTGTGCTCTGCCAACCTGGGCACCAAGGATGACATCTTGAAAACATCATTAATCAGTCCATCGACCATGTTGTAGAAGCTGTCGCTGGTGCCTATCTCAAGAGATGGGCAGAAAATCAGGTCTGGGGAGACCAAGTCTAACTGGGCTTCAAACAATGGTGCAAATCCTGCATTAGGATCTGGACAGAACAGAAGAAGAATAATAGAAGTAGCCTGGTATGAGAATGCGAGTTCCCACTTTGTACTGGCAGCTTATGACGTCAATTCCTAAGGAATACTAACAAGAGTTTTCAAACATTCCATTTGCAAATAGACAAACTTACTTCTTTATGTAGTCTAAAAGCCATCCCACATATTCTATTGTCTATTCTATTGCATCAACTGAATACCAGAATAAGCAATGAACTAATACTGATGTCAGCCTACAGTCTTCAAATCCAGCCACCAAAATGAATCTTCAAACATTTAATTGCTCACATAGGCAGTACCTTCTTGAGTACTTCAATAGTGTGCGGAGAAATTAACTTACTTAACAATACCATAGACTTAGAAAATGCATATGATAGCTTAATTTTGCTTAGTCTTCCCTGTCGTAGGTCTTTTTGAAAATCAATACCTTCTGATCCTGGACCAAAGACACCAATAAAATCACAAGTAATAGCAAGGATTTGAAAGCATTTATAGCAATACTGCTGAACGTTGGAAATGGCAACATGAGAAAGGGTAGAAGAAAGGTTTGACGACTAAGGTTGTACTTTCTTTAAACTGTAAGATGATCATTTCCGTACAATATAACTTTACATTTTCCCATATATAGCTGGAGTTTGCAAACATTATGGAAAATTTTGCAGAATTTTAAATTTTGTGCCCCATGGAATAGTCAATTTCATCAGCTGTCGGGTGAAGGTAATATTTTTTAAACTGTTCTATAAACCTATTTTCAGAAATTATCTATCAAACAACCTTGACAATAACTCACCATGTACAGGTAACAGTGCAAGTAAAATGGGATCTGATTACTCCAGGAAGGAGTTCAGGAAAACATGAGTTTTGCCCTCCAATTTGCCAAATTATAGTTTAGTATGGTATTGGGTTTAACTGAAAAGACATTTCCACAAACAACCGAGGATTGATGAAAGGGTTTGTTGCAACCACGCAAAGGCAAGTAAGTTCAGTTCATTTGTAAAGCAAAACATTGTAGTTCAATTCTGTTCCTTAATGATGGAAGGAATCTGACTAAACGGATGTAAATTCTTAGTGTGTGCATGCTTTACCAACGAGCCTACAAAGAAACCATGTGTCTGGACTTTTACTGGTGGTAGTTAAAAGTCAAAGTGGTTGTGGTGTTGGGAACGTCATTCAGCTATGTGTGATAACACTTCTGGATATATGAAAAAATAAACCACTTGAAGTTTAAAGATTTCTGGTGTTTATCTTCCCTCCCTTGTATAGTTGTGGACATATATCTGAACATACTGAGTCCTTTACCTAATTGGGAGTGTACTTGGGACATAATTATTCAATATAAGCTCCTCTTAGACTGTAAGATCCAATATGTACAGTTGAACCTCAAAGTATTGTGAGTCTACCTATACTAAATGTATTTAAGCAGTACAAGAAGACAGCTCACTGCTATCACTCCAGGGCAAATAGTGATGGGCAATAAGTGATGGTCCAGCCAGCAACACCTACATTAAATAAGAGAAAAGCTACTATGATAGCTTGATAAATATTTGGCAAATAATTAGGACGCAGCCCTGCACTAAAATTAATATTGAAGTGCACAAAATTCAACTATAACAACAATGGCTCCAAGAATTGCACTTGTAATTAAATGTAATTTTAACTGAGCAGCCCAACAAAAGAAAAAAAAAAATCATGCCTTGTATAGTCGCTAACATGAGTTCATTCCAAACTAAACCTTGGTGTGCAGGTGCACAAGTTCAAAGTTTGCAGATGATATGAAGAACATAAAACACAGAAACTAGCAGGAGGGCTGGGCATTTGGATCTTCAAGCCTGACAAACCATTCAATACTCTATGTCCCACACCTTAACGCCATATTCCACATTTTCTTCATACCCCATGACATCTTTAATATCTAAAAATTTAATCAAACTCTCGCTTGAATATAATTATATAAATCGGAACAATGTGCAGAGTTGTAAGGAGAATGAAGGAGAAGGACACTAAGGGAGTTGCTTGTTAAGAGAGCGAGTGCAAACACAATGAACCAAATGGCCTCCTTCTGCTCCATAACAAGTCTGCAGTTCTGTAATTCCATCAGCAGAGTCGCAAAACCCATACAATGTTGCCTCCGGCAACTCCTACGAAGATAGTGGCTCGAGGCTTGGAAGGTCAGAAAGATTGTGCATTGCTATGCATAACCACAGCTTCAGTAGGTACCAGCAGTAGGTGGGTCAACAGCATCTGTGATCCAGACAAAAGGTGACTAGCTAGGTGAGGTGGGATAGGGAATATCAACTTTTGTGGCAACATCTCCCAACAGAAAATAGTAAAGGTATTAGGGCAGAATTACGTGTGAAAAATAACTGAGTTTAAAGAGCAGACTGACGTCAGTGTGTAAGGAAATCAGGTCATTTGTCGCAAGGAAGAGATACCCTGAGGTGCAAACTGTGACAAATATTGGAAGGAAAAGAGTACAAAAATAAAAGAACTAAAAAGATGAGGATAACAAGGTGTAGACCTGGATGAACACAGCAGGCCA